ATAAATCATCTCTCGTGGGGTATCCTTTTAATTGTACAAAATTATTGCTCGAAATCATCTGAGGATTCAAACATCTGAGATATAGGAACTCCCATAGCAAAAAACTATTATATATATGCTGATCTTATTATATCAAAAGGTGAACTAAACCCTGGAATTTAAAACATCGCTCTAACACATTGAAGTTTCAACAAATTTGGCTGAGATTTATTGGGAATAGCTCGTTATGACGGCACACTACTCTATATCTTAGCTCCAAAAATATCTAAGAAATATTTAGGCCCCGTCTGGCACAACTCAACTTCATCATGGATTGTTTTTTTTTTGCTTCACCTCTACCAGCAACTTTATCGGTATAGCTGAAGTTGTTTGGCAAAGAACAGCTCTGCATGTAGATTTTCTTAAAATATACTCTCACAAAATCTTACACAGGACCACAAGTGTGAGGTAAAGCTGTGAAAAGTTACTATTTTCATCTTCACTTAAGTCTCGGTGGGGAGTTTCTTCTCCCTGTTTTCAAAGATTCAATGTGTTGGAATCAGTGTAGATGGGTTTTATCCACATGAAACTTATTTTATCCCATAAAACTTTGATCACCTCTTTTCTCATCTATTCCATATTATGTCAGCTGATTTAATACCATGGAACTCTGATGAAATTTACATCGAGACTGACCTAAGAAATTTAATTGGAGCTGTTTGTAAAAGATCTGTTTCTGTTTGGAAAAAAAAAACAGACAGTTTCCTACATCTCACGGAGCTGGTGACGAATCTTCAAAATAGTTTTATTAGTCCCGCGCGTGTCACCTCACGTGGTTCGCTGCACGCATCCATCGTCATCAGCCGAAACACGTACTGATCCACACGGGCCGGGCGGGGCCGGACACTGACACGGCGGCCCGGTTCAACTCGTGTAAATCCAGGTCATGTGATGCGAGCTCGGATGGACCGGGCAGCAGGGAACGAGGCTGCCCCGGCCAGGACCATGGAAAGAGAAGGGCGCCAAAAAAAAAAACGTCACACACACCCAACAGCAAAGCAACAAGAACGATCTGGTCCCACCAGCCTGTGGGCGGGGAAAGTGGTGTCGAAATTATCCCGGGTCGTCAGCTCGGCTGTTTGTTTGTTTATTGGAGCGTGTGTGCAGGTGCGCTGCATGATCTATGATGGGACTGCGGGTATTTTTGTTTTGCTCTGTTGTGTGGTTGGCCTGAGCCGCTAGACGGCGCGAGCGAAAGCGACCGTGAGACGCGCGAGGGAGACCGATCGAGTCGAGGTTGATCAGCGTAAAGCAAGCATTTGTGATGACTGTGACTCACGGAGCGATGTGAACCAGCCCGGCCTCAGGCCTATTCATACGTCTTTTCTCCTCGGGTGAACACGATCGATCCCTCTTCTCCTTTGAGATAACTCACTCACATAAGCCCACTCGTGATTACTTACTGCACTACTCCTCCTACTCGTACCGGAAAGCGTCGACGATTCCCCTTTTCTTTTTTATTCAGGCCCCGCGTGCTCTTAAATCGATCCACTTCATTTTTTATTTAAAATAGTATTTTCCTCTCATAAATTCTTCCAAAATTGCTTCAAATCATTCAAATTCCTCCCCAGCCGTACCAGCCGAACACCCCCTAATTCAAAAAGGAAAACGGAGCAGCGAAGGCGTAAAACAAATGATGATTCCACTCGAGCGTCGGAACACGACAAAATGGGCACTAGTCGGGTACTATAGTAGGTGTAGGTGCAGGTGCATTGTGCAGGGTGCTGAGTGCCGCTGAACGGCACGAACTCCGTTGCACACGCTGGATATTTGTTTGATGTTTTCCGGTGCCTTTGTCTGCACCCCATCCCCCTGTATTGTCCGCCACATGCATCATGTTGGTTTAATCGTATCGACTATATTTATTAGTCATGATATATTATTTTTCTTTTACAATAAAACAATATCAATTGATTTATATAAAAAAAATGATCAAGCGAATACGGTAATGATCCTGAGGAGAAGAAAAACACTGCAAGACGCGATTACCAACCACTATTAGCCTCCCATCTTTACATAGACATTCCTCCTATCGAGTTTACCAGCAGGCTGCAGGCGCACATACATTTAAACTTAATACTCTTTGTCTAGTAATAATTTAGCCTCACATTCCAACATATATCATCCTGTTCACTTGATCGTATCGGCCATGATTATCAGCTATGACATAGTGTTTTTTTTTCTCACAACAAAACAACATCAGCCAGCTTATAAACCACAGAAACGATAAACGAATAGGGTGTAATACGGTTATATTTATGATCGACTATACTACTCGATAATAAAAGATCATGATCATAAACTATAGTAAATAAAACTAATGGTCTAAGCGTAGACAGCAGTTTAAAATGCAGTCCAGCGTAACATCGCATGGCGTGAAGCGGAACAGTGGCCTGGGCGACGGGTCAGGATAGGATATAATAACGCGGCCATATCGCTACAAATACTGTTCATTGACTGAAAATGACTAAAAATACTGTTTCGGATGAATTGTTGTGAAAGAAAAACACTGTTTTGGCTGAAAAAACCAGACCGAACAAGCCAAATTTAAGACAAGCGAACGGAGCCACTATTGGATTCGGATCTTGATGCCACTGCCTCACCGCGTCGCGAAAAGCGCACAAAGCTCTACTCCTGCTGCTGTGCCTGCTGGAGGAGACGCAGCCGGCAGCAGGAGCAACGGAGCGTGGGGAACCAACCGGGCAAACGGGAACGGGACGGACGGGGTGGGTGCGCAACGCCGCGTCCTCGTGTCGTGGGTCCCTTCCCTGTCACCACCCGAGATTGCGGCCGTCACATCGTCCAATCAGGAACACGTGTGTGAGTTTGTGTACGCGTGGTGACGTGAGTTGGTGCGCTACGACAGCTTATACTCGAAGATTTGAGGCATCAAAAGTCACACACACACAAAAAAAACAGTAACCGCGTTTGCTGGTCGTGTTAGATTCTCTCACGTCATCGTTTTGATTTCGGACTTCGCAGGAACTCACGAATTCGGCGCAAATTTGTGAACGGGCTCTGGCGTGTACAAATAGTACGGAATTCTGTTGAAACAACCTGAATTATGTATGGAACGAGAAATCCCAAGGCTATATTAACCGCTGACAGAAAATCCTGCGGTGCATGGTTGTGTCAGCCTGAATAGGGAACGAGAAATTCAGCAGGCATATTAACTGCCGGGAGAAATATAGTTACCCTCCATCCAAATATCCACTCAGATAATTATATAAAGTAAATTCAAATTTGGTTGACAACAAAACTGGCACATGTCGTAGGAAATAGATTTGCAAAGAACGGGTAAAATCTCGACAATTTGAGACGTGGCAACTCAAAACTGATGGGCCGAGTAATTTTTTTTAGCAATAGATGTGGCAAATGTTGGCAATCTTAGTATGCCAACCAAAGTGACCCCTAGACTATTATGCTAACAGAGGCTCGTGTGTAACAAGGCCTTGTTTAGATTGGGTTAGAAATCAGTATTTGGCACTGTAGCACTTTTGTTTGTATTTGATAATTATTGTCCAATCATGTCCTAACTAGGCTTAAAAGATTCGTCTCGTAATTTACAATCAAACTGTGTAATTAGTTATTTTTTTATCTACATTTAATACTCCATGCATGTATCTAAAGATTTGATGCGATGGAGAGAGACTGAAAAAACTTGCAATCTAAACAAGGCCCAAATTTGATAGATTAAGTTGCATGAACAACCGAACTCTATCTTAAAAAAACGACGTGTTCTAAAATTAGGGCATCCTTGGGTTGGAGACTCTCCGTGTTTCTAAATCATCGTTTGGAGAGCCAATGAGTCATTTGCATAGAAATCGCTTTCTAGATCTTTCTACTCTCTAACATTTTTTTTCATATCTCGTGCACACTCTAGAGTGTTATTCTCGTTTTTTCTATTTTTGACTAACGAAAAATCTGAAATAAGATAGCTACATTTGGATAAACATTTAAGTAAGTTATTGGTGGGCAGATTTTTCACCAAAGTCTATATCATAGCAATTAGTAGGGACATAGAGAGTCTCTTGAAATCGCCGTAACTCAGAGATGAATGGCACACGCTAGCAAACTGTTGAAAACGCATTGCAGGTTCTAATAATAACAAAAGAAACAAAAACACTGTAGAGTAATAAGTGTTGGTTTCGGGTACTAGCGTGTATCATCATGTGCTTGTAAACCGTCATCACGGTGGTACCTGGTATCCAACGAGGACGATGGATCCACCACAAAACACACCGCTGCCGTGCTCCGCGTCCCAAAGGAGAAGCGGAAAAAGAAGAAGAAGGGCGACACGGTAACAGAGGCCTGGGGGCCACGGAGATCTAGATCTATCTATCCGCTGCTCTGCTCCGGCCATCCTCCTCATCCCTCCTCACCCGCCTCGACCAAGAGAAAACAAAGCGAAATGCGCTCGGAAATGCTCCGAGAACCGAGAGCGAGACCCGGCAGACGGATTCCAGGAACCACCCCGGAGGAAACGGAATTCGCGCGCGGGGTCCTTCGTCCCCTCCCCGGGCCCGCCCCTCCATCCCGTCCTGAGAAAGCACAAGGCAACAGACCTGAGCGCACAGTGAGGAAAAAGGGGAGCTTATAGATAGATAGCGATGCAGGCAGGGCGTGGTGCGCACTCATCAGAGCTGCTCCGCTCCCTACTCCCCCCTTGTAGCGTAGCGTAGCTTGCCCGACGCCGCGACCTCCGGGGCTTGGCTTTGGGAAATGGAGCAGCCGCTCACTGCCCCAGTGGGGCCTGGCGCCGCTCCAAGTGAGCTCCTACTCTAGTGAAGTGAAGCTAGCAGCCAGCCTCGAGCTTGAGCAGAGCACAGCTTGCTCACTCTTCTTGTACTAGCACACCGCAGCTGCGAGAACAGAGGTCCAAGAAGAGGAAAAAGGAAGCCCTCTGGTGGTGCCGGTGCGTGCGTGCTTGCTTGCGGGTGGCAGAGTAGAGCCGGCCATCCATGGACGCCTACGAGGCCACCAAGGTGGTGTTCTCGCGGATCCAGGCGCTGGACCCGGACCACGCCGCCAAGATCATGGGCTTCCTCCTCATCCAGGACCACGGCGAGAAGGAGATGATACGCCTCGCCTTCGGCCCCGAGGCGCTGCTCCACACCATCATGGCCAAGGCGCGCAAGGACCTCGGCCTGCTCCCGGCACCGGGCTCCGGCCCGGGCACGCCCACCTCCGCCGCGCACTCGCCGTTCCTCCTCTCGCGCCAGAACTCCGGCCGCAGCGGCGGTGGTGGCGCCGGCACCGCGCCGTCGCCGCTCTCGGTGTCGTCGCCCTCGTCGTGGGCACCGCCGCCCGTGTTCTCCAGGAGCAACAGCGTCGTCAGCAATGGCGCGGCGGCGGAGGAGGCGTTGGCCGCCGTCGGGGAGGACCTCATGAGCCCGGCCGCAGGCGGGAACGCCCCGCCGTCGCCCTTCTTCGCCGCCGGGGACCCGCTCCTCGACGAGCTCCAGCTGCAGGAGCAGCTCGCGTTCCTCAACGACGCCGGCGGCGGCCACCAGCTGACCCTGTTAGACGCCGCCGGCGAGTGCCGGAGCCCCGGGTCTGGCGATGCCGCCGGGTTCTTCCCGTACGGCGGCCTCGGCTGGGCCAACGGCGGCGGCCCAGGGCACCGCCGGAGCTCGTCGGTCAGCGAGCTCTGCCTCGGCGGGGCCGACGGACTCGGCTGGAAGCCCTGCCTGTACTACGCCCGCGGGTACTGCAAGAACGGCAGCGCTTGCCGGTTCGTGCACGGCGGCCTCCCCGACGACGCCACCGCTCTCGCCGGTGCTAAGGACACCGCCACCTTGGAGCAGCAGTTCCAGGACATCCTACTGCGCTCCAAGTCCCAGCGCCTGCCGCCGCCGCCGCCTTCCCCTACTCCCCCCGACCGGCTCGCTCCCTGGCTCCCCGTCCGCGGCTACCAAGTGCCTCAGCTTGCTCTTGCAGCAGCAGCAGAACGAGAACCAGAGGTCTGCCATGCATGTTCGAGGAGCTAGCTCGCAGACAGTAGACACTCCCCCTCTCCTCGTGCTCACGATCTCCCCGATTCCTGCAGGGCGGCAGCTGCAGCGGCCGCCGCGGCGCTGATGCTGGGCGGCGACGACGCGCACAAGTTCATGGGGCGGCCGCGGCTGGACCGCGCCGACTTGGCGAGCATGATGAACCCGGGCTCGCGCCAGATTTACCTCACCTTCCCGGCGGACAGCACCTTCCGCGAGGAGGACGTCTCCAACTACTTCAGGTAACGAACTGTTCCTGTGTTCCACTACCAGCGCGCGCGCTGCTCCGGTCCCCCGGGAACCATGCGCGGTCTCTTCTGACGGGCTCCGGCGAACCACTGCAGCATCTACGGCCCCGTCCACGACGTGCGCATCCCGTACCAGCAGAAGCGCATGTTCGGGTTCGTCACCTTCGTGTACCCGGAGACGGTGAAGCTGATCCTGGCCAAGGGCAACCCGCACTTCATCTGCGACGCGCGCGTGCTCGTCAAGCCCTACAAGGAGAAGGGCAAGGTCCCCGACAAGTACAGGCATGCCGCGACCTTCCATTTTGCCTTCGTGTGCTTCCCCCTTCTAGGCTTTTCGCTCTACGGCATCATGTCATTGACCGATCGCTCTGCTGCTAATCTGCAGGAAGCAGCAACTGCAAGGCGAGAGGGTGGATTTCTCCAACGGGTTGGACGCCAGAGACCACTTTGATCTGCACCAGCTCGGTAAGGCATTTTGGCATCTGTTGCAAAATGATCGGTGCTCAGACCCCGAGTGTGTACTGATGCTTGTTTGCTGCCGTCAGGTGCGAGGATGCTGCAGCACTCGCACAGCGCGAACGAGATGCTGCTGAGGAGGAAGCTGGAGGAGCAGCAGCAGCAGGCAGCCGAGCTGCAGCAGGCCATGGAGCTCCAGAGCCGCCGCCTGATGGGGCTGCAGCTGCTGGACCTCAAGACTCGCTCGTCGCCGAGCCCCATCGGCATGCCCTTCAGCCCCACGCGAGCCGTCTCCTCTCCTACCGTCGAGTCGCCGCCCGATTCCGGTAGGGATAGCGACAGAATGCGACGCCATTTCACCTTTTTCGGCACGGATGTGTTGATGAATAGCTGGCGATATTCGGGATTTCTGAACCCCCTGGTTGATTTCGATTCCAGCAGGGGAACACGGCCCCAAGGACAGCAGCGGCTTCCTTTTTCCTCAGAGGGGAGCGGTCAACGGAGGCGATAAGGAGGAATCTGCCGGCGATGCGAGCCCGAACGCAGACAGTGACCAAAGGTGGAATGGAATTAGCGCTACGCAGAGAAGCAACATTTCACCAACTGATCCGTGGGAAGTGACTCTTTTTTAACGCGTTGCGTTGTTTCCCTCCCTGCAGTGCCGAGCACAACCTGCCGGACAGCCCGTTCGCGTGGCCGACCAAGAAGTCCGCCGCCGCGGCGTTCTCTCGCGATCCTTTCGCGCCCAGCGACTCGGAGATCGCCGCCGCAGCTGCTGCCTCGCCTGGTCGTAACGCCACGGCCGCCTCCTTTGCCGGCATCAACAATGGCGGTGGCCTCACTGGCCATCTCAGGCCGTCTGCTCTGGACATACCTTCGCCGAAGCCCTACTTCTTCCCCATGTCCAGGTATACAACCACATCGTACCCGCAAATCGCGCGGTTCTATCTAATCTATCTGGGCGCCATGATTTGCTCAAGGCCTGAAACGCATCATGCAATCCGTTGGCTGGCAGGCTGTCCTCCGATCACGGCGCCGGCGCGATCGGGATGTAAAGTTAAGCCCTCAATGGGAGGGAGTATGATACTACTGCCTAATCATAGTAAGCACTTCATCGTCTTCCTTTTGCGAAAGCCATGCATGGATCTCAAGCACTGAGCACCATGCTTCCAAAATGATATGCTTTTCAGATGTGGAATGATGCTGTTCTTACTTTCGTTTCGATCCCTGCAGGAATACTAGAAGCAAAGAAACAAGCCAGTGGAATATAGGGAAACAAAAAAGAATGGAGAAGTCGCAGCATAGTTAGTTCAGTTCCTTTTTTTCTTTTCTTTTCTTTCCTTTTCATGAAACCAAACCTCAGTAGGAGCAGATCCACACCAAGCTGAGAAGCACTCGCAGCAACAGATTAGTGCTTGCTCTCCTGTTACATTACATGCATTTACCACTAATTACTACGATTAGTACTTACTATTACCACCCACCAGCATTGATGTAATACACTACCTAGCTAGCTCCATGTCCATGATATGCTACTGCTACAACAGCCACTAGTTCATATACACTGATAGCACTTGGTGTGATGCTTACCAACCACAAGAAGATACTTATACTCATCCTGTTCGTTTGATCGTCTATGCGGCTTATAAATCGGCTGATGTTGTTTTGTTATGAGAGAAAAACACTGTATTATGGCTGATATGATCGAGCGAACAGGATGACTACCAACATGTGATCAGCGAACAGGGTGACTACCAACATGTAACCCCGGACTATTACAGTACTGCTCTGCTTGCTGGATGCAAACATCCATTGCAAAGCCAAAACAGACGTGACAGACAGGCTTGGAGAGGAGGACCAGACCAGCTGGTCTGGTGTGTGTAAAAAAGATCTCACAGGATTTGGGGTGTGATTGAAGAAGGACCACTCTGTGTTGTCTCCACGGCCTGCTGACGCGGAACCGAGCTGTTGTCAATATTGGGAGGAGAGGTGTCAGCGTTGTTGGCTGGGGGAGGGGCGGTCCGGTCCCCCCCACTCTTCAGTCCTTCAGCAGATGCAGATGCAGATGCAGGTCACTACAAAAAGATGTTTTTTTTATTTTACCTTTTTTTCTTTGATTTTACTTTTGCTTGTCGAATGAATTTACTGTAGTGGACAGTGTTATTATAATACAAAGAAAGGAAAGTGAAAGATATGGAAATAATTTTGCCCTCTGTGCGGTGAATGATTTGGTGGTGTGGTGGGTGCCTACATTTACCTCAGTTCTTCCTCTGAGTATATTTCTTCACCACTTCAGCTATTTCATTTCACTCTGGTAATAAGACCTGGTTACAGTAAAACACTTGCTCTACTAGTACGAGCTTTAACAAAAAAGAAGAGCTGCTAATAGTACTACTATGAGTTTTTCATGTTGAAAAAAAAGGGGCGCACGAAGAAACGAAGAAAGGAACGTGGCACACGAAGAAAAGACGATCGGCGAGCGATAGTAGTGTTGGTGCTTTTCTCCGTGGCTGGCAGTGGCAGTGGCAGTGGCAACGCAACGGATGAACCCAAAGAAGCCAACCCGGGGCGGGCGGGTCGTAGAAAGGCGATGCTTTCGGGGACACGCTTTTGGGGATGCTGCTGGTAAAATCAAAACCAATCCACCGAGCCGACGTCGACATCTCAAAATCGGAAGCTAGGGATCTGAATGCGACGGGTAATGTTAGAAATTAGCCGGTGAGGTTCTGAAGAGGAAAAAGGAGAATAGACCGCGCCACGCAATTATTTGCTGGATGGATGAAGACCAGTAGTTCCTGAGTAGCCAGTCAGTCGTATTCAGGGGTGTTTAGTTTCCCTTACTTAAAATTTAAATTTGAGTGCCTATCACATTAGATGTTTGACACTAATTTAAAATATTAAATTTAGATTAATTATAAAATTAATTACACGGATTGAGACTAATTTACGAGACGAATCTATTAAGTCTAATTAGACTTATGTTTAGTCTTTTTAATTAGTACTCCCTCCATTCTAAATTGTAAGTCATTCCAAGAATCTTGGAGAGTCAAACTTTTTCAAGTTTGACTAAAATTATAGAGAGAAACATAAAGATTGGACATCAAATAGGTATAATATGAAAATATAACTAATGAAGAATCTAATGATACTTACTTGGTATGATAAATATTATTATTTTGTTATATAAATTTAGTCAAACTTGAAAAACTTTGACTCTCTAAGATTCTTGGAATGACTTACAATTTGGGACGGAGTGAGTATTAAATGTCCGATGATTAGTGAAGGGGCTAGATTGGTACTGGCAGGCAGGAAAGCGGATCATGTCGAATATGATGCTCTGCTCGTGCTCGCCTGCTCGATCGGTCTCCGGCGCTCTCGGCGTGCCGGGCGGCGGAGGCGGAGGCGGAGACCGGAAGGACGGGCTGCGGGCGCACCGGCACCGGCACCGGCATCTTGCGTCGCCGCCGGAGATTTGATGGCCCGGCTTGAGCTGTGCCGCCTTGGCGTTTGTTAACGCCGGGTGGCACGCAACAATATGGTTTGCTTGAGCTTATAAGTCTGAATCAGCTCTACCTTTTCAGCTATGGAACAATGCTTTTCTCTCACAATAAATTAATCCTATAAACCAGCCACAGCAGCGGTAAGCCCTGCCTAACAGAGCCAAAGTGCATGGCGCTATCGTTCGTTCTTTCTGCTTTCCTGTCCTTTTTCCTCAATCCTCCGGACTCCGGGATTATTAATGCTACTAACCGCAGAAGCTGCAGCATAATTAACACAGGCCTATTAGCTTACTAGCCCTTCAAGCGGTGCCTACCCTAGCTAGCTAGGAGGAGTTTGTTCACTGGACCTGCTGTGGTACGTACACGCTCCGACATGTTGGAAAAACGTTTGCTTTGCCATTTGCCAATGGTACTCCGTCGTTTGTAGAGGAGCAGTCGAGCAGAGCAGAGAGACGTCCACCGTCACCGGCGTTGTAACTGTACATTGTACTCCCAGTACAACAACGGGGCAGATCACGAGCGAGACGGACGGCGGTGGAGCCCAGCGTGGCAGCGGCCTAGTCACGCCCATGTGTCCGTGCCGGCGTTCTCGTGCATGCCATCGGTGGATGCATGAGGCGAGATGAGATGGAATTGGAATCCAACCCGACCACGGTGCTGCCTGCCTTGTCTCGCGCCGGCCGGCTGGCGCTGGACCATCGCCGATCCGCCTGTGCCTGCCGGTGCATGCCAATGCCACGGCCCACACAGGGCCACAGGCCACATAGCAGAGCACCTCGTGGCCTGGCCTTTGCGCGGCACATGCCTGGCCAGTGGCCAGCCTGCTGCCCACGACCACCGCTAGCAGTAGCAACTGCACTCACTCCCCACCTCTGGCGCGCCGACGCAACGACCACCGCCGTCAACTTTTTACTTCCTCCGTTTATGTTTACTTGTCAGCAATTTTTTACTATAGCAAATTTGACCATATATATTTTTTTTAAAAAAATCTTAGATACTTCAATGTATATAACACTAATGAAGTATGTTCAATAAAGAATCATATATGTGAAAACTTGATGTATCAAAAAATCTTTTACAAGAAAAAACGTATGATCAAAATTACTACAGTAAAAATTCGGGACAAGTAAATGAAAATGGAGGGAAGTATTTTATTGTTATTGGCTTTGCGACTTTTTCCTTTGGAGCTGCATGCAGGCACGGCCGTAGAACCATGCATGGCTAGTCTGTCGTTTGCAAGGCGAGGCCGCGGCATACACGTAGTACGTACGTTAGGGCAGACAGGCGAGCCGTGGTGAAAGGCCGTAACCTTTCGGCGCGTCCTGTCCTGATTCGTACGTACCTGGCTAAGCTATGACCATGATACCGTGCCTTGTACTGCCGCCAAATAACTGTGCAAAACCGCAGGGTGGTCCATGCAAATATAATGAAGAAGGCTAGTCAAAGCAGCGGCAAACAGACAGTGCTTTGCTTTGGTTGCATCATGCAGCTTGAGCTTGGACCGGACTGGATTAACTCTCTACTACTCGTAGTGTGCTACTGCTAGCTAAGCCTTCTATGCGACCATGCGAGCCGCACAACTGCAGCAGCAGCAGCAAATGAACAATGAGCCGCCAGCCCATGCATATGCTCGTCTCGTCTCGTGTCCCAACGGACCCAACCCAACCCAAAGATGCCAAACTGTGTAGTCCCGGCCAATAGCTTCGGGCCCCCACCTGTCAGTGGGTACATCGTCCTTACTCCTTACCCAGTCTAACTCCGTCGTGCAAATTGCAAGTCGGCTGGACATCATCGATCAGTCGGTCGTGTAGCATGCATTGCATGCTGCTGTACAAACATACACAGAGGGAACTTCACCGTCAGCGTCAGGTTAGGTAGCTAGAATGGAATGGTTGTACTCGCATGCATGTCATCAGCCGGCCGGCGCATGCTCGTGTCAATGGCGGTAAGCACCGTTTTCGGTTCTTCCGCTGCACATTAGCCAACCTGAATCTGACCTGACGATACGTATATGGTAGGGGATTTTCAGGTGGCAGGCAGGCAGGGGCACTCGTTCCATCGCTCTGCGTACTGACTACCGTACGTACTGAACAAAAAACGGGCGGACGTCACCATGCATGGCCGCTCGGGCCAATTGCATGCAACAAGATGCATTCGATCGATCCGTCGCCGGCGGGAATTGAAGTGGTGGCCTGCTGGGAATGGAGGAGACGCTTTTCTGTTATTGGTCACGTACGTACAGCTAGCTACGGATGGGGACGTACGGTATTAGACGGCCGGCGACGGGTAGACGTTGGACGTTGGTGCTGGATCCGTCGTCACCGCGACGTCCTAGCTACGGCCTCCCGTCCCGTCCTGGCCAGATAACGAGAGAGGCCGGCCGGCCCCGGGCAGTTTGCCGTGGCAGCGCAGACCGGTCACGGTCATGGCGCGTGGGAGATCGTTATCTGGATGACTGGATCGTCGCGGAGGCCACAGCCACAGGCGGGCCGGTCTGCCCGGCCCCCGTCGCATCGGATTACGTCTGCATCGCGCGCACCCACGCATTCATTCATTTATTCGCAGGCACGGATCTGCTCTGAATCTCTGATGCCCGCCGCGCGCGCGCGTCCTCGTCAGAAGGATCATGCCATGCATGCATTTAACAAGGAGATTATGTCTTGTTTAGTTTCTTCAAACTCCTGAAAAATGTATTATGTAAAAAGAAGATTTTTCGTTATATCAAACTTACGGTACATGTATGGAGTACTAAATGTAGACGAAATAAAAAACTAATTGCACAGTTTGCTTTAACTTTACGAGATGAATC